AGAGAGAGAGAGAGAGAGAGAGAGAGAGAGAGAGAGAGAGAGAGAGAGAGAGAGAGAGTTTTGATGAATAAGGGCGACTCTAGCGGTAGCGGTGCTTCGGCGAGATATTTCCGATGGCAGCAGGAGGAAAAAGAAGAGAGAAAGTTTGTATATTAAAGGAGAAAAGGGTGGGCGGGTAGATTTTTTTTTTATTCTTTTAACTAAAAGAAATACTTAAGTAAATAAAAGAAAATGGAAAAAAATCAGAAGGAAAAAAACGATCTTTTTAAGTTCTTTCAAATTTTTGAGGACCGATTTTACATTGAAGTTTTAGTTTTAAATTAACCATGAGACAAAGAAATTGAACTCAAAATGTATTTTTTTGGTAAACCACATAGACTAAATTTGCAATCGACTACCTAGAAACTAACTTTGACTACCTATTAAATAACTAAAAGTTTAAGAAATAACCTATATAGTCATCAAAATTGTAGGTAGGTTTTTACGAGCTAATGATTTCATTATATCAGTTCATTTTTCTTCAAAAGTATTAAACTTTTTTTTTTCTTCTATTTATGACATTACCACCGATCATCTCTAAATCTATCTACATTTCTTCTCATCAATCTAATATGAGATTTCTTCTTCTTCAATAAATTATACAAGTCATATCTTATATATTAAATATTTGTACAATTTTACTTATTCTTACTTTTATACGAGTGGCGAAATCACAGATAGGATAAGAGGAAATCATAGATTTCAAATATCATCTACAATATCTCATATGCGATTTCGATGGCTATATAGATTATTTCCTTGTTTTTCTTTTTGACTATTTCTGAAAAATAAAATTTGAAAATTATGTTCAATTTGTCTTTTTATTATTTTTAAATGAACAAAAAAATGCAAGTTGATTACTATTATAAATAAAAATAAAGTATAGGTCGTATCGTCTATCTTGGCCAAAACTTGCTATTTCATTTGGGACGATAAGCCCAATAATGGATATTGGATAAAAAGGCTTAAGCATATAAGATCAAACAACAAGGGAAACCCAAAGAAAGATGTTAGGTAACTTGCAATGTGCTAGCCTTATATTTTTGGTTTGACAGCCTTAACCAAATAAACACCGATAATATCTTTGATATTTGTATCACGTCCAAATATTCAGGCTTTTACTGGTCATTTGACAAAGTCATACTACTCTAATAAGATACCAAATCCCTCATATTTTTACCATGTGATTAACCAAAACATCAACCAAGGTATCAAAACGACTCCAAGTCGATATATTCATAAAAATGTCACAACAATAAAGTAAAATCAAACCTTTGCTATATTCTAACCATGAGTAAATTCATCAACCATTTTACACACTACATCTTATATATTACCACTAGACTAAAACCAACACCATGTCAACGAAAAACAACCAATGACAAAAACCGTTAAAACTCAATGAGTATGTGGTGGTGGTGGAGGAGGCTTGCATTGATAACACTTTGCAAATAGACCGAATGTATCCACTTGTTTGATGAAGTTTGTCATGCTCGCCCATCCTCCAAATCCAAACCCAACCACAAGAACCCACACCACGATAAATATGTTCACTATGTACATCGCTGTCCAGCTTGGCAAAAAGAATGGAGGCTTCTCTGCCGCATTCTGCAACCAAAAAGATTAATTTAAAAAATCGTTAGAACTTAAATTTTTATATTAAGTTGTTTTTTTTTGTATTAAGTAAAAAAAAAACACTCATACTCGTTAAGTCTATTCAGGAGGGCCCTAGAGGACTAGACACTAAGGTTAGGTTTGGAAGGAAAATGGGTCAGTAAGCCTGCCAGCTAGCCCAATGTTAAGACTGATTGAGTGCAATAATAGTAAAAGTGTGACTACGACATATAAAGTTTAAATCAAAGATAATGAAATGCCACCAAACTTTGTCTTCTTTCGTTTCCTACCCCCTTAACTTTAAAGTTATAAATGCAAGGTACATTTCGTTATCTCAAAACCTAATGTCACGTCAAAACCAAACTGTCGCATTCATTAAAACTGCTGACTAGTTTGCCTAAATTAACAGTGCACATAGGTTTAAGATTACCTGGCGAGCCGAAGCCTTTCTGTAAGTGAGCATGTGAGCAAGAGCCGGGATGATGTAGACAGTGAAGCTAACCAACAGAGCCCCAACAGCCGAATTGATTGGGCCAAAAAACGGGAATATAATCGCTAGGAACCAAATCGGAATCACAACAGGTAACCTTGCCAATGCACGTAAACATATGCTCTTTGTATCATGCATCCCTACCACTTTCTCCCATACAAAATACAACGGCGTGCATGCAAAACCAAATGTTATAAACTGCAACAAAACAAAAACAAATACAATAGAGGTTAGCAACAGAGTTATTGGTAGCTGACAACTTAAGGCTTATAAGTTATAAGGGACCCACAGTTGTCAGTTTTTATCCACGTGTACAGACCTGATGGATGAGCATGAGGATAACGGCAGCATCACGGAAACCGTTTCTTGGGAGAAGAGAAAAGGCGTTGGAGTGGTTTAAAAGTTGGTCACCAAAGGCCCAGTACATCGCGGTGGCTGACGGGAGTGTTAGTGTGAATACATATAATGTAGCAAACAGATATATGTACTTGAATTTTTGTGGCTTCCACATGGCGTGCATTATTTCACTGTTATAACAAAAATGTATCTTATATCGTTATTATTGATTAATGGAAAATGTAATGTTTAAATTTGGAAATAATTTACTAACACTGTGACGGCATGTCCACCGAAAGTGTAGAGTATGTTTGTCGCTCCCGTGAAGTACAAAACCAGCTTCTTAGGACCGGAATGAACCACTTCATCAACCTAATATTGCCGAAAATACACATTGATGAGTTGTACATCATACAATCTTGTAGGCCCCATTTGTTAGACAGGAGACAGTCTTGTACTGTGTTTGACGTGTACTGGACTAAGACTATGACACATCTTAGTGGGACCAAAGATGCAAGTTTTTGTTCACCCAAAAAGGTGAAACATTTGCAAAAGACATGAATGTCCTTTTACATCCGCATCATAGAAGTCTAGTCCAGTAATCCAAATGTTAATAGTGAAAGGGTACCTGGCCATGGATCACGGCTGCAATGGTTAAGTACCAAGCAGTGTAGGTTGTCATGCCAAGCCCTAGAAAAGACCAAATTCTGTAGTTGTGGAAAGAGGGTATGAAGACAGTGGTAGCACAACAAGCTCCAAATATGTAGGTCCATGTCCTCTTATCCAAATGATCATTTATGTAGTATATATTGCTGCATATATATATATATATATATATATATATATATATATATATATATATATATATATATATAACACAAAAAATGTTAAAATCTCATTTGTATAGAAGTGATGGATAAAAATCTTGATGGGAAAGATTGTATGTATACCTTGCGCATGCTATAAGCTGAATGACGGAGCCAAAGAGAAGAAAGGTGCAGTTGAAGGCTAATCCTACAGCTTTCCATTGTGGGCCCAACAGACCATCGAGCACTTCAAACCACTGCATGAAAACAAAGGTGAATATGCATCATGCATGTACATGCCATAAGAAAATGCATCATGTAGGCCATACAAGCATGTATCACATGCATCTAATGATGCTTAGTTAATGCATTTGTCTAGAACCATAATACGACTTAACAAGCACAAGGTACAACATATCGCGGAAACAGTAAGATTTGACCTTTTAACCACACAAAAGAACAAAATTTTAGTTCTTTATGGATGTTTAAATCAAAATCGTTACAAATCCTGTGGAAAGCACTTCACTTTCCAAAGACCCACTATGAGATATTCGACTTTTTACAGTGGTAAATGATAAAGAATCAAAAACGAATGAAGATTAACCTGAATAACATGGTTCTTGAAGCTGACATTCTCTTTCTCCTTTCTGGCTCTATACTCGACATAGAGAACACTGATGAGATAAGCAGTCCAGCTTCCAAGGAGTCCATAAAAGACTTGAAATATGACTCCTGAAAGCATACCCAATTGAGAGAAAGAGTATGGGAGTGTCAACAGCACTTGTGCTACCTGATATCACAAAACAATAGACAAAAAAGACTGAATTTTTTATGAAAAAAGAGAGGATAACTACAAGGTGTAGAGGGTGATAAGGTAAATTACCTGGTTTGAAGCACAACTGAACCAAGCATCATAAACAGAGCCACCATGCCAAAGAAAGTTCTTGAAGCCAGACATTGACTGATCTACCCCTACCTCCCCTTCTCCTTGTTCTTGCTCATTTGAACCCTTCATTTCCCCGGGAACTATCGCTTCTTCAGCTTGCTTATTAGGAACCATTTTTGCTCTGATTTCTTACGTTTACGAAAGTCTTTCCACTTATTAAAGAGATCTGAAACTGAAAACACAACACGCCATAAGAAGCGCTTAAAAATCTCTCTACCTTTGCCTTTATTTCGGTTTGGTGGCAGAAACTATCATGAATCAATGCAAGTAATTAAAATAATAAAGTAACGGAAACTACACATAGGCATATATACTTTCACATGTAACATATCCATCAAATTTCGAAAAAAATACCCGATTATTTGGCAAGTAAAGTCAGAGAAGTGAGAGAGGGTGATGTAAGAAAAAATTACTTCAAATGACTTTTTGTTTATCAAAAACAAAAATAAAAGTTTAAAAAAAAAAAAAAGAGTTGCTCTGAATCCGTGATTCGGTGCTGATGATGGTTGCAGTTTCCCAAGATTGACAAACTTTTAACTACAGTAAAAACCCATTAGCACCCCTAAAAAACAAAAGAAAAATCGATAATTTCATTTAGCATAAACCCATTTGATCCGATATGATTACAAACTTATGGGTGTTTTGAAAAAGTTGGGATTTTTTTGGGTGGGTTAGGGGAAGAAGGTAAAACAGAGAGGTTGATGAAGGAGACATACCAGAGAGAGAGAACTGAGAAGTCTTTGATTCTCTTTACTCTTACTTTCTCTCTCTAGAATTGCTGGTGTTTGTTGAAGAGTGAAGAAATTTTGAGGGAGGAAGGAACAGCCATTGATGAGGCTTTAAAGAGGAAAAAAATGTGAGTGGCTTTTTGCAGGGAGAAAAGTGAGGGCGCGATTTATCTCTCTGCTGATTTGCTCTCTTTTGTGTTTCTTTGTCTCTGTAAAATTTTCTGTTATTATGGCTGCTCATACAAGAGAATCTTGTACAGTTGTTAATGTTATTATAAAATATATTTTCCTTTTTACTTCTTCCTTTTTGGGGTGAATCAAATAAGATATAGCATAAATTTTTTTTATTTTAGAAAAAAATTCATTGTTCTGTTCATTTTTTATTTATTTATTATTAATAATAATCCTTGTTTATCTTTATTAAAAATCTTAAATATTCAATTAAAAAGTTAATCACAAATTACCAAATATGGGATATCTACATTAACCTTGTGAACTTTTTTTTTTCATAATTAATATATAATAATCATTCATTCAACAAATCTGCGTTTTCAATTTGCAAATTTTCAATAAAATTCTGCTAGTTTAGCTTTGAGTATCTTTTGAACTTAAAATTCATTTTGCAAATCTCAACGAAAATCTTTTGATGAAATTTAATCATTTTCATCTTTAACATTTGATTTGGGCATGATTTTAATATTCATTTTGCTTGTATACTTATTTTTATTTGTATCTAAATTTTAGAGATTGAATAAATTTCGCAAGATCCTATTTCGTCTACTTTTATTTTAAAGTCACGTTAAGTGTTGTTTAACAGTTGTTAATTGAATCAAATATGATCAAATGATTGATTGAATCAGATCCAACATCGTATCAGAGTAGTAAAATACATATCAAAGACTATATATAAAACTAAATCAAATGTTTCTAACTATAATATAAACGGTCTGAATCTAACCAAATCAAACTCGTTAAAAAACATATCAAATAACCTCTTTCATTCTTTATAACAACCTAATTATTATATTATCTTACATATTTGGTTAGTATGTAGGTATATCTATTAATATTTGCTACTAATAGACTCTACATTTTACCATATCATGCTTTTCAATTTAGGATGATTTTGAAGAAAGAAAAAAAAATCATGCAAGATCTATTCTTTTGATGTTTCTCTAGTGCTATTCTCGTAAAATTCAAGGGAAATCTTTTTAACCTTGTTTCAAGTTATGCTTAGCATCGTATTATGTATACTTATTCAAACTATTAGTTTACAACATTTATGTAAAAATGTTTCGCAAACTATGAAAAATGTACTATGAAATATCAATTTTCATGTTTTTTCTTCTCCTAAATTGAATGTTTCTAGGGTTTTCCAAGACTTCATAATCTTTTTTTTCTTCTAATAACAATAAATCATGTGTTTCATAGAGACCGGTGTGGCTGAGAACATGTGTGCCATTAGTTGGACGATTTAAATATATGTGTACATCTTATCCCAATTTCGATATTAGTTTGACAATTTAAATTTGTCTAATTAAATCAGTTAAGAGTTTATGCATTTGCTTCAACATGTCAAATATCATATGTCCATGCGCTTTGAAACTACATTGTTTGTAGTAATTCGAGTGGAAGACTTGGCTTTCATGCGAACTATAACATGTCAAGTAGCATATGCCCATGAGCTTTGAAACTAGAATGAGAAAATAATGGCAACCTTTAAAGAGATCGTCCAATTTATTGAGAAACAAATGTACAAATCTTTGATCGATGTTCTTTATGTCTGAATACTGTGAAGATAGGAAACACGTTTAAGAAAAAAAGACGGTGAATCTTATATGCTTCGAAAATACTCAGTTTTCATATTGTATTTAAGATGTGTTCGGAAACTTATGTTATATATAACTTTATTTGTTTGAAAACATTCATTTTCCTTTATTTTTTTGGTGCATTTCTTGTTAGGACACGTTTTAACAAGACTCTTCATCTATTTTTGACTCTCAAAATAGGTCATATTCCTCGTTTATTATTGGGGGATTGTCTCTTCCTAAAAAGGGTGATTATCAACTCCTTTAATTATACTTCAAATGCCCGTAAAATGTTGAAAATTCCAACACTCTTGTTCAAATACAATAAGCAAATAGGTAATTTAACATTTATATATTGTCTTTTATTAGCATTACTTATCAAGCATTGGTAAATACCTAAATATGTCTGGGATATAATATTTTGTTTTTTATTAGACTTGGCGGGATCTAGGGGCAGCGCCCCTAGCGGGGTCCAAGTGGTAGAGTTCTTAGTGGTGTTCAAACACGATGACATCATGACGGTGCAGGTGTCGGTTATGTTCAATAACTACCTGTTTTTGGCGCCAAATCTGCATACAACAACTACTAACTATTTTTCCCTCTTATATAAGAACATTTTCATGTTCCTGAAGACGGGTTACAAAAAGATACACTAAAAATCGGTTCATTAAAATTTGATCTATCTCTCAATAACACATCAAGCAAATGTATTTTGTGTTTCTCAATTCGAATTAAGCATGTAATTCGAATTGGTTTTATTTTTAGATTATCTCACTTTTGAATTCGTATACCCCAAACAAAATGGACGAATTATAGATTTCAGAAAGTGTTCAAAACACGATCCTTAATCTATCCAAGTAATATATACTGTTATTTTGATTCCCTATTTTCTAACGGACTAGCTCTTAGCGATTAGTATCTCATTCCCTCTATGCAATCATCCATGAGTTTTTTTACCAAAAACTTTGAGATAGTATTTGGTAAAACGGAATAAAAGATGAAATTGTTTATTCCATTAAAATGAGAAATAAAAGTTGTTTGTTTTATCTAATTGAATCAAATGAACAATTCCTAAACAAATATATGATTCCTTTTATTTTATTAATTTTCATTCATATAAACCAAATAAACTTTATATCCACCAATGAGTAAACATGACTTGTAACAAGATTCGTAGGCATATCCAAACCTTTTAAATCATTATTTGATATATTGGCCATTAAATCAATTTTAAATTGTTGGATACGGTTATTAAATTCTCTGTGCACATGCTAAGCATGTTATTAAATATGTTCAGAGAGTAGATGTTCTTAATTCTAGACAGTAGACAGTGATTTAATAAGTATGTAAGATACTTTGTATTTATGACTGCCAATTCATGCCTACATTAACTCTTTTAACAATATTTGTTTGGTCAAAAATAGTAATCCATTAATATAATATTTCCTTTATAAATTTACAACGTGTAGACTTAGTGTTACATACAATAAATAAACAAAACTATCACCCATTAAGAGTTTTAACCTAGATTTTTTACTTCATGGTGATTAGAAATTTTACATAATAATCTCTAAGGTGAATTCAGATAACATTTGAAGAATAAACAGTAAATTTTCATAACTATATCAACAATCACATGATAAAAGTTTTGAAATATATTTATAAGGAAAAGACAGTGAATGTGATTTTAGGCATGATGATGCAAGTAATGTTGTGGCAGAGGGGCCTCCATCTCACTTACCACCAAAATTTTGCTCAACTTTTCCATAATTTCATACTCCCCCTCACCCTTTGTCTCTTTGACTATTGACTCCCACCACCACTACTACATAAACTACTATTCCCATCTATACACCAATTTCCTATTTTACCCCTCTTGTATTATATATCCTTGGTTTTATTTCTATTTAATAGCGGATAATGATATACTTCCTTTTTATGGAAACCACTAATATTCTTTATAATGAAAAAGAAAATCATTCCCAATCATAATACTTGATATAATCTCTACCATTCCTTAGTTTGATTAAAGATTGGTATAGGTCACAATTAAGGTAGTCACTTATTCATCTCATAATGTGTTTGAATGCCTTCTTTTCTGTTAAAGTTGCTACTAACCCAATTTTCTTGAACTTTGTGATTAGTGGGAGACCAAATGATTAAATGATAAGAGAGTATTAGTAGGGTTTAGGCATGAATAACCTCTTTACTTCAATGCCATTCTAACATAGAATCCAAGATTACCATCTTCAAACCCTTTTATTATATTTAATATATGCATGCTCCTAGTTTAAAGTTTTGTGGCCCTTACTTGAGACAACTTTCTCCTTTAGATCATATTATTTTAATAAAATATATGTCCCTCCACCCATTTTTTTTTATTTTAAATAAAGTATAAATAAATAAAAAAGAAACCTGAGAAACAAAAAAATTATCAAACAATCGAATAAAATCAACATGTAGACAATAAACAAAGAAAAACACGTTAGGTAGAATTAATACTTAAAAGCCTTAAGATATAATCTTCCCTTTCTTAGTTGTTAATTATATGAACAATATTTCTATAGGTAGAAGTTTCGACACGAAAAATTGGTTTTAAGTTGCCTCGTATTTCTAATTTTTGTCAAGAGCGATAGTTAATTAATATATAAGAAAGAAATTAAATAGAAATTTTAAGAGTTCAAATGTCTTACAATATTAGTTGGAAGCCTAAAAGTTAGTATAACTTTTGTTTTGTAACTTTTATTTATATAAAAGTTTATCATATAAATAAATGATTATAAGTTTTTTAAAATTATATAAAATTGAAGGCTCATAAAACCTAAACTTTTGGATCAAAAGTTTGTTTTATAATAAAAGTTTTTAACATGTATTTATGAATAAAAGTTTTTCTTTAATTAAGAAGAAGGGCCTCTAAAGGGTCATAGTCATCCAAGCCCCTTTCCCTCTTCTCTCCTTTAAAATTTGACTTACTAATACTCAGAAATATATATGTACAAATGTAATTCTATTTTTTCAGAAATCAATGGCTCTAATACTATTGATGGAATATGTGTATAAATTAAAATAAATCACAAACACAACGGAAGAATAAACTCGACATATTCCATAGAGGATCACAAATCCATGAGCGATTTGCAACAAAAATTAAAGAGAGTGACATTGAAAACATACACTTGTAGACTTTAAATTTTGGCTTCTTCTTTGATGTTGTTTAAATGAACTAGAACCCAAACCATAGTTCCTCTAATGAAGTCGTACCCAAGATAATGATCCAAGCAAGGTTGACAACCACACCATCTTGAGTTCGATCCTTGAACATAACCATAGTACCTTAGGGTTCGGACTTTTGATGCTTCAAAACCGAGAGAGGGGATATGAGAAGAATCCAAGAGGGAAAGAGATCCAAGAGAGAAGGAGGCTAGTTTGAGTGATATACATGGTTAGGGTTTCCAACCATAGTTTAACTAGTCTTTATCTTTAATGTAACACCCACTTTCCAGGTACGAGTTAATTATCAAGTTGATTTACTTTAAAGTTGAGAAATGGATTTTTATGATTCACAACGAGAGCCTTGTTTGGTGCGGCGCGAGTCACGTCATTAAGTTGTGGCACAACTTAAGTGATGGTCACGACATGACGACGCTTTGTGCACAAAACCCTAAATCTTGGGCTTTGGTTCATATATAAAGACACTAACATTTAGGGTTCTCTTTGATCATCAACCTCCATCCCCATATCATCACCCTAGCCTCCTTATGCATTATTGAGAGCTTGTATGTGTGTTTGAGATACCATTGGCATAGAAGAAAGCCTGTCGATCATTGAGAGGCCATTTCTAGCTGAAATTTCCACCTTCTAGGCCCATCTCAAGCAATGTAAGTCATAAAGTTCTCTGCTTTTCATTATTTCATTCATATATCTAGGCTTGGGAAGATATTTTTGTCACTTTGGTCCCTTAGACTTGTTGTTATTGGAGTTTAGGAAACTCAAGAACCTTGGTTTGGTTTTGATGTGATTTGTGGTCATTGGAAAACAGAAAAAGGTGTTTGCATGTGCTCTCTTGGAGCCATACACAAGATCATGGCCATTTTAGGACATTTTTGAGTAAGGGTTTGGTATTGGGATTGTTTGGGTCATAAATTTGGATAAATTTGGATACTTTATCCATTAAGACCCTTGGTTGATTCAAATATGTAAGTTAGAGCCTATTTCTGGAAGGATTAATCACTTAATGGAATAAATGCATCTGCCTGAAAAGCACGATGCGCCCATGGAGAGGCCACGATATGAGGTT